CCATAGAGAAGCCACTGCTGTGTTTATGAGAATATGCTACCACCTTAAATGTGGGCTGTATTTAAATGATGCTAGTTTTGAGGCCAGGGCCTCATGAAGCATATAACTCTTGACCTATCTTAACCTATGAAAACACCACAGCCCCAAGGAAAATAATATTTTTTCTAGTGTGGCAGTCATTATGTTAAACTAAGATAATTCATGAGAAATAAACAATGGCAGACTTAACATACAGCTGAGTCCACTCAAGAGAGTATGCTGCTCTTTTATTTCCAAATGTATCAAATTTGGGTAAATAGGCAAATGTAATGAAAAGAATTAAGTCTTTCTAAGGTATCAGTAGTATTATCAAGCCAAACTAAAAAAAAAAAAAAAAAACAACCCAAAAACGAAAAACTTATTACTCTATACCATATTCATATTATAAGCAATTTGTAAAATATACCATGTCACATTCGTGTCAGAGAAATTGAGTTTTATTAGTTTTGTAGATGTAACTTATAAACATTTTGATGTTAAGAGCAAGAAATACAAGGAATTCAATTTAATGTTTACACATCTGAAACATTAAAAGGAATTTCTACTGCCATAAACAAGCTACTTGCAAGTGTCCTAACCGTACCATGCAAACAGAACCACTGTACTGTTCCTTATACAAGTCTGGATGTCTCCAAATTAAATTTTTTTTAGAAATTATCATCTTGGCCTCTCAAAACCTGAAGGTCATATCTTTGAAATATGAAACATCTCATCTTTAAAAAACTCAAAGTCTACATAAATGCTTAAACAACATTTAGCTTTTGAAGCAAAGGTTTTATTTTATTTATATATTAAGAGACAACAGCTCTACTTCTTTGTTCTTTTTTCGCTTAGATCATGCAGAAGAAAGCCAGGCATAGCTCCAAAACTGAACTGCCCAATATGGTAGCCAAGCTCCTTAAATTATGTAAAGCTAAAAACTGAATTATTTAGTCAGACTTGCTACACTTCAAGTACTCAATAGCCACATGCAACTGTGGTTGAAAGATTTCCATCATCAGTAAAGTTCCACTGCATTGGTTATTCTATAACTTCTCCCTCTGAGAAAGCTACTCCTGACTTCAAACATCAGCTCTGTACTGATGACTTTCAAATCATTCTTTAGACTTTTCCCATTAACCTAATGAGTATTTTCAGTAACCTGCTTGATACTTCATTTGTCAGCTGGGAGATGGGGGTGGTGGTTAGAAATAATTTTGGTGGTGGCTAGCAAATCAATATGGCATAATGTAATCAAGAATGTAACAGATTTTCAGGGAAAGGTTAAGGTTGAATTTGAGATAACTAAAATATATACTATAATGGCAGATATTAACCAAAAGACAACGCCCACTCTACCCTACCCAACTATCCTAAAATAATTAAAAACTACTTTGCAAAGATCTTCAAAAGATATCTTTCCAATCATACCTAAAGATATTCATCACCAGTAATTCACCTTTGATATGGAAGATACATTAACATCACAACTTCTAGTCAATACAAATGATAATTTAGCCTGTTTCTAAGTTTATTTTGTTAATTATATTTCCATTCCTTAAAGATAAGAATTTTTTAATGTCAAAAACAACACAGCTTTATAAATACAAAACACTACCTCAGATTCCTATTAACAACTTTAAAGCTCCCTGCTTCCTTTACACTGTATTATCATAAAAGAATACAGTTATTAATTAGCTACAGATTTATTTTCTGCTTTATACATAGTAGAAATATGTATTTTTGGTGTTATTCCAAGAGAACTTAATTTTATTTTTTTTATTTTTATTGAGACAGAGCCTCAAGCTGTCACCCTGGGTAGAGTCTTGTAGCATCACAGCTCACAGCAACCTCCAACTCCTGGGCTCAAGCAAGTCTCCTGCCTCTGCCTCCCAAATAGCTGGGACCATAGGCGCCCACCACAACACCTGGCTACTTTTTGGTTACAGCTGTCATTGTTGTTTGGCAGGCCCAGGCTGGATTCGAACTCGCCAGCTCAGGTGTTTGTGGCTGGCACCTTAGCCGCTTGAGCCACAGGCGCCAAGCTGAGAACTTATTTTTAAAAATGCAAAATTCCACTTTCTGACTACAAAACTAAAATCAGATGCAAAAACAAAACCATGCCCCCCCCCAAATTCAGTTAGAAATCTTCATAAAACAATGAAAATAAAAGACATTTCCAAAATAAGGTATGGTATATTAATTTATTTAGTTAATATTTATTACCACTCTAAAATTCTGGAATGAGGGAGATAATAAATCAATGTAAAGCAACATTTATTAAGTACCTACCGTGTGCTAGGCTTTGGACTATACATACAGAAATAAAAAAGACATGGTCCCTGCCCTCATGGAGCTTACAGTCTAGCTGAAGCAGACAGACAGTCACAAGTACAATGGCAAAGCACCAGGCAAGCAGCATGGGGGGAGGGGGGACTGGTTCTGCTTGGAGCATGCAGGGCAGGCTTCCCAGAGATGCAGACAATGGAGCTGGGCCTCGGATGAGGAGGAGTTCGCAGGATGGAGGGGAAGGGGGGAAGCACACTCCAAGCAGAGGAAACAGCATGTGAGCAAGCAGAATCCTGAAAGCGCATGCCAGGGTGCAGGCCGATGAGTGTTCCAGCGCAGCTAGAGCAGAAAGGTGCACACAAACTAAAGAGATGAATTAGTTTTTGTATTTTAATGAACCATAGTATCAGAAAATATATCCTCATGCTACACTTCATGTAGCTAAACTGTGATTCTGGTAACAATGAGTAATTTGAAAGCCTTCTTCAATTCATTTCGTAAATACTTGAGCCCCTAGTAGCCCCATCTGTAGGTTCCCAGCACTGTGATCAGAGTTTGAAAAAGGAAGTCATGAAAACATAAATCTTAATTTTCCTCTGTACATTTAAAAAGAAAACTAAACCCAGAATAAAGGTTTCCTTAAGCTAAAATCACAGTGACTCACTTACACCCACGCGAGGTCCTTACTTTTACTAACTTGAGCCCCCTCTACTCCTACTCTTATCTTTAATACTTTCATAGCTATCAATCCAAACTAACCGCACAGCTAAGAAGGCAATTTCAATTCCCTTCTCATTCTGCCTCTGAACAAGGTACCTGCCAATACCCCCTGGAAACCACTGCAGGGTACTGTATTATGATGGAAAGGAACAATACAGTCTGACCTCCATACCAATGGAGAGAAATTAAACTACTATAAATAAAACTATTTATCTGAATTCTGAATAAAGGCAGGTATAAAGCAAAGACTCCATTAGTCAAAAAGCAAAAAGGACAAGAAGGAAGACAGCTGGGGTGAGAAAGTTTCCTACACTGGCTACCAGGCAACATTGTTCACGGAGGCTGCCCGGTGCTCAGGAAGGTGGCAGCTGAGCCAAGGCAGTAATGAAAGCTAAGGAAGTAACAAGGGTCAAATACTGTGCTCAGTGTTATTATGTAAATTTCCACATACTCCTCACAATAACTAGAGGAAAAAAATGTATTACCTTAATTTTACAAATAAGAAACCTGATGCGATGGGAGGTTAACAAAGTTTCCCGTGACTGCATCAGCTAATAAGTAGCAGCTGCAGGCCACCAAACCACACCTTCCTGGGTCCAAAGCCCTTTCCACTCTCCTACACTGTCTTGGGTTCCTACTAACGCAACATTCCCAGGGTTACACGGGTCATATCTCAGAAAAGAAAAGCCCCCACTGTCCCTCCACTACTGTCACATCATAATTGGTGTGACACACAGATCCCTGAAACTCAGGGGAAGAAAAATTGAGGGGAAAAATACTTATGTATGTTTAGTTGCCATTGGGAGATAATAAGTTTTCTTTGTAAAGATACAGGGTGCCAGTACAGGTTGAGTATCCTTTATCCAAAATGTTTACAAGTGTTTCAGATTTTAGATATTTTTTTATGATTTGGAATGCTCAACCTACATCATAATTCAATAAGCTATCAACCAAACAACTCAATAAAAATAAGAGCTGATGTGCCCCTCAACCCAGGAATGGATTGGCAAGCTGTGGTATATGTATACCATGGAATATACTAGTCAGCCATTAAAAAAATGGAGATTTTGCAGCATTTGTAATAACCTGAATGGAGGTGGAATGCATTATTCTTTGTGAAGTATCACAGGAATGAAGAAGCATGAATCCTATGTATTCAACTTTGATATGAGGGCAATTAATGACACAGTCAGGGGTGGGGGAAGGGGAGAGCAGACCGAGAGAAGAGGAGGGAAGAGGTGAGAGAAAGGAAAAGAAAAAAAAATAGTGACTAATTCTCACATAAATTGGATTTAATTTTGACCAACATACACTATTTGAATAATAGTTTTTAATTCAACTTACTAATATGTTGTTTAGGATACTGCATCCTCATTTATAAGTGAAATATGCTTGTAATTTCCCTTTATAATATTTTTTTCCAATTTTAATGAGGTAAAAATAAATAAAAATAAGAACTAATGGAAAAATCTCCAATCCCAGTATTAGGATATTATTCCTAAGAGTCATTACGCTCAGCATCATCTAAAGTCAAAATAAAAACTGCCTTTCTCAAATACTGAACTTAAAAATTAATAGGCAATTATAAACTATGTGGTAAGGATACCTGCCACATGAGAATTTTGTCTTCTCTGGGCAACAGGAACCATTTTGGGGGAGGGGAGAGGCAGACAATTAAAATCAACAAAGAAATATTTTATAAATAGTCCCAGTGGGCCAACAAGTGTGATGGGTGTTGGCCTAGAGATACAGTGAAATGCTGTTTTGTACTGCGCACAATTTACTTAGGCTTTCTCCATGTAAGTATTACTGTCAAATACCAGAAAATAAATCAGATTTACAAGTTAAAAAGTTTCACAGGGCAAAGTGGGGGTAAAGCACATGGGACATTCAGACAACCAAAACTCCAACATAAGGTACTTTTGGGAGAGTTTTTGAAGTAGCATTTATTTATAGTAAGTAAATTCACTAACCTTATTTTGATTGAGAGGATCGTTCCGCAGTCTCTGTTTGTTCTTCTGTAATTTACTAGGCATCATCTTTCCAGTTCTGAAGTCAAAACTGCTGAGGTCAACAGTATTTCCCAGGTACCTTGCCAACTGAGGTTTGCTTCTGAACTTCTTACCACTTGGACTGGAAGAAAGAGAAGGTTAATGAACAAAAGCCAACAGTATTTACCCCAGAGCTCTACATAAACCCTTTGTTCATGCCTTCCTCTGCCTCCAACCATTATCACATTATAATTAAACATATGATTTTTTAAAAGGAATGTTAAAGGTTTCAAGGAACTTCCTAACTTCCCTATAAGGAGAGATAATATGTCATCTACTAAAATACTCCGCTAGGTAATCTACCTGAGCACCTAACAGATGTCGCACCAGATTATCCCACTGGCCACTCAACCAGCAACCACCAACAGAATCCAAACACAAACTGCATGCACAGCACCACACGCACACTAGAAATTTCTTCAATCTCACAACTTTCCTTCTAATTGACTCTTGAAATGCTATTTTTTTCCAAAGTATTACTATATAAAATGTCAGCAAAAATCAGACAGAACTTCAGAACAAGCTCTTTTGAAATCAATAACCCTTGTTAAACACACACACAAACACTCTATGGACTTTTTGAGCTACCAATTGACCTCATAACACAACAGAAAAAAATTCTTATATCTTGACAATATTTAAATGCTCCCTAATATAACTACTGAAATGAAAAAAATAAGGTAAATATGTGCCTATACAATACTGACATGAATTTTGTTAGCCAAACTCCTGCATTAGAGAATAATTTATTTCTTGTAAGAAATAATGCCAAAGCTAGAAAAGTATACAAAGGACTAAACTAGTCTTTCCTAAGGAACTTTTTCCTATATGGCACTAATCTGTAAGAAATTTCTTATAGGAAGAATGTCCCAAAGTCTTAGCTAATAAACTTTCCGGGCTAAACGTGCTGGAACAAACTGTTAAAAGTCAGCGTGACATGTCACAAAAAGAAAACTGTGAGAATTCTAGGATACCTCTCACACAAGCCAACTTCTGGAACTTTGGGAACTTAACCTTATACCAACTGACCATAATAAAAGAAAAATAACAGGACGACAAAAGGAAAAAGGCTAGAAAACCAAGCAATGAAACAGTCCCCTGGAGCACAAACAACTCTCTGGGTCAAGTCTAAACCAAGACGCCACATTTATCTGAGGCATTCTGCCCCCACAGACAACTGAAGGACACACCAACATTCTTCCTCCACAGTCACATAACTTAGGTATTCCTGAAACACAATCCAAAGCACAGAATTCAGCTAACAGATGACGACAGTAACCAGTAACAGCAAAGACAGAACAGAACAAGGCAGACAGTAAGAAGGGACCAGGGGAATGGACACAGGATGAGGAAACCTCAACTCCAATCCTAATGCAGAGTGGTGAATACACTCAGTGTCGCAAAGTAAAATAGCAAGTCACTCTCAATACGGTCTAAAACGTGAATCTCTCTGCCCACCACACGTCCATCCCTAAACTCAATCTATAATTCTGACATCTGGTGGCTACATCACTATCCAGGTAGCACTTAGTCCTCCAGGCTAGAAAGACACATTGCAATCCTTTAGTGCCCCCAACCCGCCGCATATCCAAATATTAAGTTCCAAATTCAAAGACTCCTCAATCCTCACAAAGAGCTTCATGCCCTCACAACATGGAAAACGTTTTACCTGTTATACACATACAAATTTTTCTATATTCTTTCCCCGTCCACCTTGCTACCCTACATTCTGTATTTAAAGTCGCCAAAAATGTGCTCGATACTTTTGACTCCTCTAGCCACGACTTTCCAGATGGAAGGATGAGCATAAACAGTACCCCGCCTGTCAAGGGGCTATTAAATCCTTCAAGTCCAGCGAAAACATTACCGTCCCTAGAAGACCTTCTGAGATTCTTCAGTTCAAGTTACAAATAACTGTACTATCTATTCATTACAATTCCTTTACACTTCCTTAAGTCAAACCAAAAATTTTAATGCCACATTTTAACACTCTCAAATACCAACCACATGGAGGTTAGCACTGAACAAGTTAACTTTTTGAGAACAAAAAACCTTATTTCAATATTAAAGGATGTTGCAGACACAATGGAATAAATACAAGGCTCAGGCCTGCAATCCCAGCACTTTGGAAAGCTGAGGCAGGAGGATCCCTTGAGGCCAGGAGTTCAAGATCAGCCTGGAAACACAGTAAGACCCCACCTCTACAAAATATTTAAAACTTAGCTGGATGTGGTTACATACAACTGTAGTTCCAGCTACTCAGGAGACTGAGGGAGGAGAACTAGTTGAGCTCAGGGGTACGAGGCTGCAGTGAGCTATGACTGTACCGCTGCTCCCTAGCCTAGGCAACAGAGATCCCATGGCAAAAGACAAACAAAAAAATTTTAAATAATAAACAGTTACACTGCGTTTGCACAGAATTTTTTTTTTTTTTTAAATTTACACGGTTAAGGCCAGGCACAGTGGCTCACATCTGTAATCCTAACACTCTGGGAAACCAAAGGTGGACTGCTTGAGCTCAGGAGTTGGAGACCAGACTGAGCAAGACCCCATCTCTAACAACAGCTGGGCACTGTGGTAGGCACCTGTAGTCCCAGCTACTCAGAAGGCTGAAGCAAGTAAATCGCTTGAGCCCAAGAGTCTGAGGCTGCTGTGAGCTGTGATGCCATAGCACTCTGAGAGTGACAAAGTGAGACTGTCTCAGAAAAACAAAAAAAAAAGTTCATGGTTAATCTGTAATACCACATAAGAAATGAAGTATTATTAAATGACTCAAATTGATTTGAAAAACTAGAAAAGATTACTCTGCTATTATGTCACTTAGGTAATTATAATTAATTTGAATTAAGTTACAGTAGCCAGATAGTCCAGTTACTGGTAAGCAAGACTCTGATAACTTATTTGATATACCTCAAAAATGAAAAAAAAATCAATCCACAAAATGACAACTCTCAATCAGATTTTCCTCAAATAGATCTCTTTAATGCAACAAAAAGCTGAGCACAATAATGGACTTTGTTTGAATGGGTTAATTTTCCAGAAGATGAAAATATGTAGGTAGTAACTGTCAACAAAAAGATAAAAAGAACTAATGTCTTTAGCATATGGTTTAGAGAAAACTGTAAAGCCTTTTTTGAGTTAATCAATCGACAAACTTCACAAATTAGACCTACAATAATTAATCTCTATGTAATAGTCAAAATGTCAATTTCTCCTACAGCTGAAAATGCACTAGAGCCTTATTACAACATTCTTCTACAGAACAAAACTGTGAAACTGTTCAGAGAGATCAATTCATTTTTTGTTTTTTTTGTAGAAACAGAGGAGAGATCAATTCATTTTGACACTTCTCCCCCAAATCAAGAAAATGTAAATACCTAAGCACTCAATTAAAAGGTTATATTCAAATGTGACTGCATATGTTTGTAATTTGGATTAGCAGTTAAAAATGGCTTAAAATTGTTCCCATGTTTCCTGATTTTAAAAATCAAACGGAAGGTATTTATTGGGAAATACCTTACATGTTGTAAAAAGGCCTGACATACTCTAATAATAAATTAAATTAGCAATGAAGGGGAAAATGTAGAAGTCAAGTTTTAACTATTTACCTAAAAGATGGAATATTAACTAGTAACCAGGAAATCCTTATTCACAGTGAATCACTACTACTTCCTGTCATAAAGATGGAATTCTGTGAAACGCCTGTACTGGATGGCTACAAGGACTTGTCATATACACTGCATCCTCTTCCCTGTCACTGCAACATCTTATGCATGGCGCTCCAGGGTAAGTCAACCCAGCTGTCCCAGGGGATTCTAAGACCAGAGACCTTTCTCTGCACATTAAGATGAACCAGGAGGAAGGCAAGGCCCATGGGAATGGTCAGAAGAAATTCTGCCCATCTGCAGAGGGACAACGGATCCTGGAAGGGGCAAACCTGAGGAAGCAAATGTCAGATGAACAAAAACACTATCACTTAAATTCTGACCTTGCCCAGAGTGATTAAGTTCTCACCTGTCTACCCTCTATGTTGGCAGTCTCAGAAACACCAGGATTTAACGTAACTAAGCTTTTATTTTAAAAGCATCAATTCATAACTTAGGGAAATTACTTTTAACTCTAGTAGACTGGAGAACGATAGTAGTCAGGTTCAGTCTTCTCTGCCCAAAGTGATGACTTCTAATCCTAATAATGAAATACTATTTCACTTTCAACCACAAAAAAAAAATCCCTACCAAATGCCCCCTAGACAAGCCATTTCTCACTAACTTGTGATCACACGTTTAACCTTGTCTACTCACTGTTTAAATACCCTGAAGTACTAATTAAATGGAAATCAAAACCATGAATTGGTATTTTTCCAGTGCATCTAAGAACATTTCATCACTCTGGCTATCTTTTCCTCTTTTCATTTTGATTAAACTGTTTAAAGACATTCTTAAACCTTACTCTGCCTTAGAAGTTTTAAAGTTTTTCTTCAAAAAGAAACTGTCTGTCTGGCTCAGCGCCTGTGGCTCAAGTGGCTAAGGCGCCAGCCACATACACCTAAGGTGGCGAGTTCGAATCCAGCCAGGACCCGCCAAACAACAATGGCGGCTGCAACCAAAGAAATAGCCAGGCGTTGTGGCACACGCCTGTGGTCCCAGCTACTTGGGAGGCTGAGGCAGGAGACTCGCCTGAACCCAGGAGTTGGAGGTTGCTGTGAGCTGTGATGCCATGGCACTCTACCCAAGGGGACAGCTTGAGGCTCTGTCTCAAAAAAATAAAAAAAAGAAACTGTCTGGCATCTGACTCTCAAATGTTAAAGAATATATATAATTGAGATACCAGAAAAACTCTCAAATTACATTTACCTTAATTTAGTGGTATTCACATTTTGTCACACTGCGAACTCACCTATAAGCAACACTGCCTGAGCTAGACAACTACAAGGTGTCCTACCAGCTTATGACATAAAAATTATATATTCAGAATATCCGCTGGCTTGCATGTGAAACTATACTCTGAAACCAACTCTCTAATACAGCAGAACCTATTTTTTCAAGTTATTTTAGTAGCATGGACAATCACGATATTTAGTCA